GTCATTAATCATATCATATTGTGTTATATTTTTAAGAAACATCTTAGATAGTTGTATTTTGGTAGGACTAAAGAAATATTTGAAGTACAAGTAAATTATATGTTGTGTATGAATACTTTACCGGAAAAACCCGAAAAACCGAAAAACCCGAAAAAACTCGAGGTTGAAAAACCCGAGTTTTATTGGTTTGGTTTGGTTTATAAATTTAAAAATCCGACCTAAATGGTTTGGTTTGATATTTGAAAAACCCGAACCAACCCGGCCATGTACACCCCTACTCAAAAGAAAGTGTCAGGGGTAGTATCAATATAAATACTATGTACTGGTAAGCACCATAGGCTGACTAAGATTAGTAATGAGTATATAATTATAGGTGTTAAACACGTAGATAGGTTCACTCCACATAGTCAAACAATAGAATCACAAGTCATAGAAATCATCATTAATCACTAACATACTTACACGTGTAGTGGTGGAGCCACATACAATTGAGGGGTGTCGACCGACACTCTTTCATTGGAAAATTATACTGCATAGCTAGATAAAAATATATTTTTTCTGTATATATGTTACATATTGACACTCATCGACTTTTACACAATTTAACTTCTTTATATTTTGACACTCCTTAGTTGAAATTCTGGCTCTGCCATTATACACGTGTATAGATATAAATGCATTTCATCCTTTTGGCATATCCCGATCCTCAAACATTGAACTTGCAAGTACACAATAACCAAATCAACGCTTCGTGAATACCAGTGTGTGTACCCTTCTCTATCATATTTCCTCTATCAAAATCATTAAGCACTGAGCAACAATTGCCAATCAATATAAATAATCACACTTGTAATATTAAATTAGAGGCATCGACATGTCTTATAGTTATGTTCAGTGGCGGAGTCATAATTTTTAATAAGGGGGTTCAAAAATTGTAGAAATAGACACACGAAATAGCCGAAGGGGGTTCGACATCTACTATATATGCATAAAAAATTATTTCAACCATGTATAAATAATATAATTTTTCACCGAAGAGGGTTCAGATGAACCTCTTTAGTACAAGGTGGCTCCGCCCCTAGTTATGTTGATGAGAGAAACGTTAGAAGTCTTACCACATATTTTTCTCTTATCATATGTTTTAGGATTCTTTAATTTTTAAAATATATTTTTCTCGTACCATATATTTTAAGAATCATTAATTATTAATTCTCCTGTAACCTTTTACCATATATTTTTGGATTTCCTTAATCTTAAATTTTATAAAGATAATTAATTAATAATTTAAGGAAAATAGTAAATGAAAATTGTATCTATTATACTCTTTCAGCAAAGGACACAAAGTTAAATGTTGAAATTCTAAGGACCTTCGTGTTTTTAAAGTAATATAAATATAGATAATAATAACAATAACAAAATTCGTCACTAAAACAAGAGGTTACTCTTCTTCCCAAAAATGCCAGCCCCATATGTTGAGGAAATGAGAGCAACAAGGAGGGGAAATTGCAGAAGCACAAATGAAGTAATCGGTAGGCAAGCCATTGTTGCTACTGGTACAAGAACCCATGATTTCTTCTCCCCAAACACGAGATACACCGTTGCACTAAAGCTTATCATCATGGATGTTATGGAAAGAAACAGAGTTAGCAGTCCCAGGATAAGGCTCCTTGGCAAAGTATGCAGGAAATCTTCTTCTGCATAACGAGACGTCAAAACTGACAAGAACACTAATAGAGAGGTGCTTGAAGTAAACAATGAAGCTGCATTCGAGATTGCAAAAATGATGAAAGCAATGTTTCCAGAGAAAATGGGGAGTCCAGTTTGTTGTTCGTTGCCACCTGGTACTGTGATTGCGGCAGCAAATGCGATGGTAGCAATCAGTGCTGCTGCAATTGTGCATGAGCTTGATGTATCTTTCATCCATTTTTCTCCATCTACCTTCAACTTCTCATGTTCATCAGTAAATACCACATACGGAGCATTCTTCTCACCGTTTAAGGATTCCCAGTACAAAGGTGGTACAATCTTCTTTACTTCCTAATTTTTTTTAATATATATATACACACACGATGTTAGTCGATTAGTTAAAAACAACCAGCCAAAATGGTTCGATTCATGCCTCATATTAAACTAGCTAGGCTGGTTAAATGAGTGGAAAATCGTTATGTGCCAAAAAGTAAAATCTAATAACTTACCACGGTAGATTTACTATATCAAATATATGATAGTTCTACAGACTAACTTGTGTCTAGGCTGGAGTGGTACATATCTAAAATAGTAGACTTAAAGAGTTCATGAGATGCTGTACTAAAAGGAAACTGTTCAACAGCACATATATAACTAGGAAATAAAAAGGAAAAACAGTAAATCTTACTAAAGGTGTATACCTTGGACCGTGATACTAGTAATTGAGTTAGATTTGGAAGGACTTACAGTGCAATTCAAGATTTATAGTAATAGGCGATAATGCAGTAATTAAAATGCATAGTTAGTGTCAATGCGAAAGACAAACTTTACCTCCGTCTCATATTAGTTGTCATGTGTCACTTTTTGAGAGTCAAACTATATGAATTTTGACTAGCATTTTTTAAAATATATATTTTCATCAAATTAACATGAGAAAAGTTGCAACTTGTAGTACTTGTCGTATAGGTTTTGGATATCAAAACTTTAAATAAAATATCAACTTGATCTAATCCAATTTATCTTTAAAAATGAGGCAATTTGACTTTCGAAAAGGAAAACATGACAACAAATTTAGGATGGAGGGAGTACTAATTCTTAATCACATAATGAGATAAATTCGATTAGGGTGTATGGTACAAAAGTTAAATCACCTTAAACCATTGTAGTTCTCGTTGCATCTGAAGAGCTGGTCCAGAGACAAGGTTTAACTTATTTTGTGCCATCTTTCCAGCCAAATGCAATACGGTGTTGCCAGAGGAGTCTACGGAAACCATCAACTGGTGCCGAAGCTGGCTCATCTGACAGATCAAATTAAACACATTTTCGCAGCGATGCTCAATTGCAATGTGAAATATATTCTTCGAATCTTGATCATAACAATAAGCTAAAGAAGGAAATTTTCTGAAAATAATTTCAACAAGCTCATAGGTGTCATAACATGCTGCATCAAGCAGAGGACGGCTGACAATGGAGTCAACTTCTTTGTCATTCAGAGTTTCTATTTTCTCGCATAAGCATTCTGCATACTTAACTGCATTGTGATGAATCAACTTTTTCTTCCGGATGTGCTTCAAAGGAGGCACTGCAATGCAACAACACACAAAGCAATTTTTTCGAGACACAAAGTACAAAGAAATTAACGTAGGCACAAAACAACTCATAATTGATCTAGAAAATATATCTGAAATCCTTAGGTGCATAAATAAATTTGCAGATTTATTTCAAGATTGCATAGATAAATCCAAGAAGGTAATCAACAAAGTTAGAGGGAGAGATTTATATGGCTTGAACCAGAAGTCATTGACACGAAAAGGAGAAAAATAAATGTATAATGGAGGAAATGAGGTGAAGGTTTAAACAGGATCAAATGCATTAAGGACATCCCAGAGCTAAGTTGCTCGGACTCTCCAAAAATTTGCCACACCCGTGTCGGATTCTTAAAAAATACACTATTTTAAGAGGATCTGACACATACCCATTGGCATTTTTGAATAGTCCATGCAACATAGTCCCAGGGAATATTATCAGGATATAGTGAGATCAAAAGTGTTAAGAGAGACATTTTGATCACTTCTTTAACTCATACTATGATATTTTTTTCAGATCTTCATACTTAAGTATTAGACAAGAACTTTAGCTACACTCATACTATGTCCATAAAGAGGTATGAAGTGCCTTAGCAAGTTGGAGTAGAAATATGTAGAATGACTTGACAAGTTATTCAATGTTATACTTCTGAGTGGAAAGATGCCAACAGAGTGGAGGAACAGTATTTTGGTGTAACAACCCGACCCCTCATATTGAGTAACTGTATCCTGAATCATGTTTTGAGTTTGTATATATGTTGATTTAACTATCTGTGACTTGTAGGGATCTTTTGGGTGATGAATTGAGGGGTTCAAACGAGTTAGCAAACCTAAATAGTGCTTGTCAAAATTTTGGTGCATCTGGTGCACCAAGATTTTCTCGAAAGGATGCACCGTGAAAGTGAGATGAGGACCTAAATAGTGTTTCTCCTGAATCATGTTTTGATTAATTTGAATAGGTAAGTAAGAACTTGAAAGATTCCTGTGAGTAAAACTAATCAATCATGTTGATTAATAACCCAAAAATGAGGGAAAGAATGTCTATTTTTTAAAGTTGGAGGAAGTTGATCTTTAAAGCAAACTTAGGAGGTTTAAATGATATGTACCCATAAGAGACATAACCACAAGAGTATATTAGGGAACCCCTAGCGTTAGAGAATCTTTACGTATACAGTATTGAAATACTATGTTGCTCGGACTCTCCGAAATACTGCTGCAGATCCTCCAAAAATACACTACTTTTAAAGGATCTAACACGCACTCGTTGACATTTTTGTAGAATCCGAGCAACATAGTTGAAACATCGAGAAGATAATTTGAGAAACTGATCAATGAAGAAGGACAGTGGGAGATCTTACCTACAATTTCAAGAACACCAAAAATAAGGGTATGCAACTTCTTGATCACTGAGATAAAAAGTACACGAACGCTAATGAGATTCTTAGTTTTTGATAAGTTCATTTGGTCTTTAGTTTTCCTTAAATTCTTGAGGACATTTGTCGAAAAGGAAATCGATATACCTTGAATATTAAAGAAACAAAAGGAAGATGATAAAAACTCACCAGTCCTGAAGTAAATTCTTACATACTTTGTCTTAACCATTTGTGAGTCATTCTCCAGATCATTGGCATTTGGTCTTCTTTGGCGACTCCGTGAAGTTGAATTGACAGGAACACCTTAATAGGGGGAAAAGGTGATTAACCAGTTCTTTTCTTTTTTATTTTGTTTTTTTTCCTGCGAAAGACAACATGAATTAGGTAAACAAAGAAAGAGGAGGTTACACTCACAATAGTAGACTAATTGTTGCCAAAAGTTTAGATGACTTCCGCTGAGGAAAGTAAATTCTTTCATGGCAAGCTCCTTCAAAGCAGATTTTCCTTCTGAATCATATTTTGCCAAATCAGGATAGTCTTCGACCAACTCTCTGGCAAAATCTATCAACCAAACTTGCTAATTATAGTTTGCACAGCAATTTCTTAGTATATCAATAAACTAAAATGAGAAGTACATATATGGATTAACAATTAGTATCGAACCTAGCAACACAAACAATAATGCTGTACAGAATCTAGCAACACAAACAATTGTTGGCCGGCCTACTTTTACTGAAAATTGAAATCAGACAACGATAGTGACATGAAGCTGAAAAAAGAAACAGTGATGACAAGATATTGACCCATCATGTAAAACTCAATTACAACTAATTAAGTGTTCATATTGAGTATGTAAATAACTTGATAAAAAAACAAAGCATAGTACCCCTGTTGTGATAGGTCATATTATACTGAGCATGTAAAACATTGTACATGGTCAACGCATGAAAATAAAGAGACGTCTTGTGATACCAAAAACAGTAACTCTAAGGATTGAGTTTGAGTAATTGGAAGACTGAGAGCATGCTTGGATGGGCTTATTGCGTGACTTCTTCTTTTTTCTTTTGTCTTTTTAGCTTAAAAATAAGTGCTTATAAACACATTTTTAAATTTACCTAAATACATAAAAAGTGCTTAAAATGTGTTTATAAGCACTTAAAACAAGCCAATCCAAACAGGGCCTGAGTCAAGAACTAGCGGAATAGTTCAAGAATTCCAGTCAAGAAAGTAAGAAGAAGAAATTGAGTCTAATTGTTGTTGAATTTCATAATTGTATAATCTATCCGTCAATGTCCTATTTATATTGTCTGCTAAGGCCTACTATTATTGAATACATGTATCCACAAAGAATTACCTCTCAAACTCAACTAACAAACTGAATTAGTTTCTAACAACTTTCCTGCTAATTCTTCCTTCAATTAATTAATCAATCTGGCTCATGAGCAGAATTTTCGTGTATCAGTACTTCCCCCCTAAAGTCACCCTTGTTTACATGCAAAAATGGTGAACTACCTCCTCCCGGTTCAAATGGGATCTCTGATAAATCAGATGACAACCAGATGAACAAGATGATTACTCCTGCACTTATATCATTAATAACATCCTCATAATTTGAGGCCATAATTTTATGAATGCTCCAAGAAGTAGCTGCTATGTCAATTCTATAACCAAGCATGTCATAATTTTTAACAATGTCAAAGTTCACCATTTGTTTAACTAACTTGATGTTAAACTCATGGATAGTAATCAAGATACCTTCAATGTTGATATTATTTTTGTTTTTTAGGCTTTGATGCAGAGAGCACTAAGCTTCCCTTATAAAGTAGCAGTACTATTGAGATCATCAGAGAGAGCTACCAAAGTCCTTTTAATCTCCATGAAATGTTGTTCATTGTAATCGAAGGTATGAGAATACTTGATGAATTATTCCATGAATCAACAAGTATAAATACATGGAAATAGAGTCCTAACTATGGAAAGAATAAAAAGAAGATCCTATCGATACGATATCAATCCGGACAATTATGTTATCAATGTATACAACAAGTAACATGGCTAAACTCATTCCTTAACACTTCGATTCAAGCTAGAGCATATATATTGATCTTGTCTAACTTGTTGCAAAGATAATCAACTCGATTTTCATTCAATGTTTTCATAAACAAATCAGCTAGTTGTCAACAAAGTGAGAGTCAACCTCTATATGTTTCAGCCTTTCATGATACACCGGATTTGAGGTGATATGAAAAGCAACTTGATTATCACACCAAAGTTTTACTCGTGTAGTATGCTTTAACCCAATTTTCGTGAGAAGATGACGTATCCACATAATCTCACACATAGTCTGTGCATAGCTCTATACTAGGATTTTTCCCTAGAGCGTGACATAACATTATGTTTCTTACTTCTCCATGATACCAAGTTTCCACCCACAAAGACACAATAACCAGCAGTATACCTTCTATCAATCATGGATCCAGTCCAATTTGCATCTGCAAAACACTCAATCTGAGAATCCCCCTGACTATCATACAATATGCATAAGTCCAGGGGCTCCTTTTAAGTAGCATAAAATTTGTTCTAGAGCTACCCAATGTTTGACCGGACAAGCAGACATGAATTGGCAAATAACACTTGCAACAAAAGCAATATATGAATGAGTTATAGGGATATAGTTTAGTTTACCAACTAATCTCTTGTATCTCTCTAGATTGTCGAAGGAAGCACCATCATCTTTCATAAGATGCGCATTAGGAACCATTGAACATGTACAGGAAGGACCAGGAGCCGTCCAAATAGAAATAATCCTAGCTCTGATACCATGTAAAAGATATGACATCTAAGCCTAAATCAACATAAAAAACTAGCTCAAGAGGGGAGAATTCTCCAAGTCTAAATAAGCACATCAACGGTCCATTCTCCAACTAATGTGGGACTCTAACACCTCGTTCACGCCCAAGCCCCACTGGAGTGGTGGACTTAGAGCCCAAACAGAAATGAACCTGGCTTAATACCATGTAATTGAAGGTATGAGAATACTTGATGTGCTATTCCATGAATCAAGAAGTATAAATACATGTACATAGAGTCCTAACTATGGAAAGAACAAAAAGAAACCCTATAAACACGACATCAATCCCTACAGTTATGCTATCTATGTATACAACAAGGAAAATGGCTACATTCACAAGTTCCATTTCCTTGCTTTCATCTACAACTATTTTTATTGTAAATTTTCCTTCAAGAAATTCAACTCCAAATGCTTCACACTTCTGCAATAGTTTTGATATTTTTATAGTTATTAGGAAAAACAACTTCTAAATCTCTTCTCATGGCAAAGCTTTCATATCACTCTCAAAGTCGAACCATAAATCACAAGAAATTATGACCTTGGAAAGAACCGAATCAAAATGAGTTTGCCATGGGAGTACTTTCATTCCCATCACTATATAAAGATTGTGCATCCATATCACTCTCATTATCCTAGAAAAGCCAAACAAGATGCATAACTTCCAAAGCCTCTGCATCCCTCTCATTATATATATAGAAACATCAAGAAGCAAGTCTTAAAAAGCTTCGGTTTTATTGTTTCTTTCAATAGTGCCGCTATATGAAGAATCACATTTAAATCCGTTAGTGTTGGGGCATTTTAATATTGCAAAATGTTGCATAGCATTGCCACAGTGACCGTTGCCTCAGAGTCGTTACTTCCTCTATTCATTATTGCATTAGAATATGCATTGGTTGACTTTCATTTGCTGTTATATGTTTGGGAATTATGGCGATTACTTTGTTGCCGTTGGAGTAGCTAACTGCTGCATTACTCCATTAGGAGTTATTGCCATATGCACTTCAGTTTTGCAACAGATGCAAAATGCCATTGATGACATTAGTGTCTATTTGATTGTCACTCATAATTCCTCCATTATACCTTGTAACATATGTAACTCCTAAGGCTATTATCTTCACTATTTACTACACAATTTATCTTCCTATTCATTGCTAGGAAGACTTCTTCTAGTATAAATAGTGGTAGTTTTCATTTGGTTTGACACACACAACACACAAGAAAATTATAGAGTGCATAAAGTTTGTCAAAAAGAGAGTTCTTATTAGTTGAAGGGAGGTGTTCTTTTTT